GCCCTGCGACGATCTTTCTCAAAGAGTCGACGCCAGCTGATCCCGGACGCAAATTACTACTCTACTAGTGCGACGGCTTACAATATCCGTTGATATCGGCTTCCTTCAGGGTCGTCTCCTCCGGGTTCGCAGGTTGATGTGCACTTGTCACAAGCTCACCGAACAGTGTCCAATTTTGACTGTGTCCGCGAGGCCCTCGGATCCCGCGCCGATCTTCGGCCCATCTTGTCGATTTCTCGGAAAACGGGGGGGTTGGTTCTCCACTCCCTTCGACGTCCCCGTTGTAGGACGGCGTTGCCCTTACACAGAGGTTCTAGCTTGATGCTGGTGGTAGCGTATCGGTAATAATTCCGCAGCTCGGACTCGGCAGGCTGGCCAGGCCGTATCCTTGTCCGTCTTGTTTGGAGTATATCATCCCTCCCAGTCTGCAGCCCGGGATGATCGATCTTCCGATTTCCTACCGGTATCATTCTGAAATTTTTGGCAGAATTAATAATGTTCCGATATTTGACTAGCGGTGACGCGGGATCTCAATACATGACCTTTTTTTCTTTTTCCTCCACGGTATCTCGGGTCCATTCTCCGTCTCTTCCTGGCGGTCTCTTCGGTATCTTCCTTCATTACACGGTATCTTACGCTAGCACCGGCCGCTGCACTCGCTACACGAATCTTAAAGGTTACGCTAAAAAGCCTGAATAGTCGGATTATAATAAATTTCAATCCCCTCTCAGGTGCGAGGGACGACCCCGCGCACGCGGCTTCCCCTCGGCAGGGTCACTGTGACGGAGCTTAAGAAGCGTCACGTCACAACATATAAAAAGTAAATATAAAAAAATAAACATAAAATTTAAAAGAATATAAAGAATAGAATTTAGAAAAAGAACAGAATCAGAAAAAAGCGCATATGTTTTATTTAGTATCAAGAAAATAATATATATATATTGCGACACTTTTGCCCACCTCGAGAACGCCGATCCCGAGGGGTAGCGTGCAAGTTTGGCGGTTACGGTAGCTGACGGTATTAGGTTTTAAAACGGTATCTCCAAAAAAAACGGTAACTTGTCAATCTCCTGGAAAGAGAGTGAATTTGGGCGCCAGGCGCGGTAATTCCGCGCCACGATATTGGTACGGTAACGGTAATGTCCGGGCTCAGTGTATGGCAGAGGGGCAGGATTCTTGTGAATTTTATAGAGAGAGAACGCTAGAGGATAATCGGGAGAGAGAAATAATCGACACTCAATATTATGTTAGTTACACAGACTTAAGTTATATTAAACTATGATAATACAGAGACAAGAGCAATATAATAGATAAATTCAGAATATAAGAAAATTCAGGTAGTAGATGAATCAGTACAATAGGTACGTCGATATATCCGAAAGTTCATATAAGAGCCAAATTAATATAGTAGATAATTCAAAACATCAGAAAATTCATATAAGAGACAAATTAATATAATAGACAATTCAAAATATCAGAAAATTCATATAAGAGACAAATTAATATAATAGACAATTCACTATATAAGAAAAGGAACAGATAAGTCTCAGCATCTAAATAATCGGTATCATAAGTTTGAACAACAACGAAATTCAAATCGGTAATGGCTGACGCGAAGGTTAAATATATCAATAACGGGGACGCTCTATTCAGAATAGAAAATCATAAGTCCACACAAAGAGCGATACCGAAATAAATATAACTCAAAAATCATAACAGGAACAGAAAATCACATAAATTATTAGCGGTTCGGTAATCTATAATATCCGCGGACTAACTACGCCAGATTTCCGAACATACTTAGAGGCACAGGCCTCGCCAACGAATTTCAGTATAAATTGAATTAATTTTCCCTACAAAATCGACGGTAATTTTCGGTAATCAATGGCAAAGAAAGATTTACGATCAGACTACGGTAACGCGTATACTTTCGGAACATCCTTGGAGGCACGAGCCTCACGCAGAATTTCGATATATCTCGAAGTATCTTTTACATAAATTTTTGACGGTAGCTTAAAATAACGGTATCCGAAAGTAATTAATTACAGACAAAGGAGGCTCAAGAAGTATAATTACGGTAGATGTTAACAGTAAACGTATCCTGAAAAATTTCGATATAAATCGAATCTAAATTTTCCCTCACGATAATCGGTAACAAGATCTCACATATTTTCGGCAATTCTTCTCGGCAATTCCTCGCAGTAATCTCAAGGATGACAATGCTAATATGGTTTACTCGATTTAACGGTCGTCTCATGACCTTCTATCGTTGATAACAAAACTTAACTTTCACACACTCGAATTTTAAGCGAAACGATAACGGATCAAGAGACACGGTAGTGTCTTGAAGTCGAGTCATCATCACTCAGGCGCAAGACACACCGTGTATCTTTACGCGAAAGGCAAAGTTGTGAGTGATGCATATTATCGGTTCTCAATAACCGCTGAATCGATCAAATTCTTATTAGGCTCAATCAATTGCTTGGGTTCGATTTATATAAGGAAAGTGCCTTTATTTTTGCTCTATGTGCTCTATAAGCAGAAATATAACGAGGCAAAGTTTCAATGTGAAACTTTTCAATTAAGAAACGTCACCGTCGTGGCTAGCTGCATTCTTTACATATTTTTCTTGTACGGTTTGCACGTTTGACGAAAGAGGTGCTGTGTTCTCGTGACGATGAGAGATGTACAGTACGCGTCAAAATAATTTCTCTAGCGAGAGTATAAGAATCGTATGCATTAAAGGATAGATATTATCAATTCTCTTTAGGAAAACGGAACTAATTATTGAAGTATACTATACTATTATGTCCTTATTTAATTAACTTTTCATAGATACATATTACAGAAATTTATTAATAAACGTTAATTTATTATGTCAATAATGTAATTATATATATATATATATATATATATATATATATATATATATATATATATATACATTATATTTGTTATATAGAATATTATATATTTTATATATTTTAATATTAGTTATTTAGATTAGACATCATTCATTCATGTCATTTAACTGATAAAACTTTATATTTTATAGATTTTATTGATAAGAATAAGTTGTTTGCTATAATTAAAAAAGATATATCTAAGAAAGAAGGAAATTATGACATCTGGAAATAAAATTGTTGAATTAGAATTATCAAATAATAATACTTTTTATGTTGTACAAAACGTGAATGAGAAAATATTTTAACCAAAAAGTATTTAATATTATTGTCATATTACATACAAAAAAATACTAATTTTAATGAAGAAAAAGTAATAATGTACATTAATAATTAACTTTATTTTAAATAATGAATATATTATATGGAAATACAATTAGAGAAATACAATGAAATAGAATATTCACAATGAATATAGAATGAATATAGAATGAATATAGAAATACAATTAAATAAAAATGATAATTTTGCACTAAAAGTTATATACATTTAATTTATATTTAGTGTAACAATTTAATGCATAAACTCAAATATAAAAAAAAATCAACTACAACATTTTATGACTGATTATAGAAATACAATGAAACGGAATATTCATATAATAAATATAGAAATACAATGAAACGGAATATTCATACAATGAATATAGAAATACAATTAAATACAATTAAATAAAAATGTTAATTTTGCACTAAAAGTTACATACATTTAATTTATATTTAATGTAACAATTTAATGCATAAACTCAAATATAAAAAAAAATCAACTACAACATTTTATGACTGATACTATGACTGATATATATCTTATATATATATATCATAGTATCAGACTGATAGTATGACTGATATATATAAGATATATATCAGTCATAGTATCAGTCATACTATCAAGAGATGCCTAAAGATATATATGTCAAAATCAGTACAGAAACAGTGAAGAAACAAAATAAATATTCATCAACTTATATTTAATGTGATAATGAGTAGTTTAAAAAAAAATAATTAAACTAAAAAATTATTAAACAAAATATTATTTCCATTCAGGAGTACCATATTTCCAGGAGTATCTATACTGATTTTGATTTGAGGCATGAACAAAAGTTACTTAAAAAATTACTTAAATTACTTTAAAAAAAAAACTGTAAAATAAACCATAATTAAGAAAAAAAAATAAAACAAAAAATAAACTATAAATTATAGTTAATTTTATCACAGTTTGTCTTGTTGTAGTTTGTTGTAGCTCATCAGTCTTGTTTTTCTTATTTGCTGTAGTTTGTTATAGCTCATCAGTCTTGTTTTTCTTTCCTATCTTTTGTGTGATGATAGAATCTGCAATAAATTATATAATTAAATACGTATCAAAATATCTTAATATGAAGTAAATCCATCAATAAATATATAATTAAGTTCTACTTTCTAAATTAAAAAATTAAAAAAATAAATTAAATCAGTAATATTAGATGATAAACTTCCTGCCGCTAAATATTTTACAATATTTAGCGGCAGGAATTAAGTTTACCATCTAATACCATATAACCATATAACTACCATATAACTATTAATAAAAACTAATAAATAGTATAAACTAATAATAAAAATTAACAATAATAAAAACTAACAATAAAATAATAATAAAAACTAACAATAGTATAAACTAATAATAAAAACTAACAAATATAACTATTTTTTTACCTTCTGTCCCTTCCTCGATTTCTACCCCAATAATAATGGGCAGAAGATAATTTATATAAAAAATTCATAAATCTTTCTTCTTGTTTTCTTATTCCAGCAGCTGTATCCCTTGGTCTTTGTGCTGTAATTATTAAAGTAATTATTAAAGTTAGAAAATTACTTACTATATGTATGTTTTAGTGTAAAGAAATTTAGTGCAAAAAAATATATACAAATTAAATGTAAGAAAAATATATAAGTATTAAAAGATAGTAAGTATAATGTTTCATTATCATGTAATGAAAATTACCTCGTCTAATATCTCTGCGATCTCTGCGATATACATGTTCTGCGGTGAGTGCAGGAGTGGCACCAACGGCGACGGAGGCAGCGGCGACGGAGGCAGCTGTGACAGGGGCAGCGGCGGCGGAGGCAGCGGCGACGGAGGCAGCGGCGGCGGGAGCAGCGGCGGCGGAGGCAGCGGCGACGGAGGCAGCGGCGGCAGGGGCAGCGGCGACGGAGGCTGCGGTGGCGGGGACAGCTGCGACGGGGGCAGCGGCGACGGAGATAGCTTCGGGAATAGAGGAGGCGAAGGAGGCGTAAAGACGAGGTTTCTGAAGAGGAACATTGGAATGATCTTCTATTGATATTTCATTTAAAAATTCTTCGTCCATTAGCATCTACAAAAGTATTTAATATTTAATAGTCTTAAATAACAGTATTTTTATTTTAATGTAAAGATATATAATAAAATTGATACTTACATCATTTAGATTTTTTTCTTTCTTTTTCGTGGACCATTCATCCGACATATTATTCGTCATCTTCGCCATCTTTGATCGAAATCATTGATCGATCATTTTTATAGATTCGTAACTTTATGCACAGTAAGAAAGCACGCCATCTTTGATCGAAATCATTGATCGATCATTTTTATAGATTTGTAACTTTATGCACAGTAAGAAAGCACTGTTCCTTATTGGCTTATTATTATTTTTAATATGGCGCCCTTGTAATTTTTCTTTATGAGATTTCTATTAGGGGATTGCCCGATTAGACACAGTACGATTAGACACAGCCAATCATATCGACCGATGCCTAGGGTAACCAGCACGATCAAGCACGATTAGCTAATCAAAGCCAGTTGTGTCTAATTGTACTGTGTCTAATCGGAGGTGTCTCTTCTATTATAGCATGTAAATTCGTTCCATGGCCTTTCATTTTTCATGATTGTTAGTTTATGATTATGCTTCACAGGTTAGCTGTAATCGTGACTTGTTTACGTGTTTGCTTTATTAATTTTAAGAAGACAAATTGTTTTGGGCATTGGATAGCAATAGGTGTTTGATTTTAAATTGTTTGATATATAATAAAGGTATTATATAAATAGATATTGAATTAAATTAATGTTAAATTTAAATTAATGTTAAATTTGGTTAATAATTTTAATTAATAATTATAAATAATTTGAAAATATTAATTTGTATTATATTTGATTGTTTACACAGAATAATATTATTCTTTTATTTATTATTGTAGGATTATTAACTGCATATTAACAAAAACATTTACTAGGATTATTGATTGCACATTATCAAAATTTGAAGCAACAAAATATTTAGAAAAAGAGTGAGTAACTGAGACTGAATGAGATTTATATATATATTAATCAATTGATAGAAAAGTACGGTAAAGAACACGTATACAGAATGAGTTTTATATATTTCATGTACCAATTTTTTATCATGCGAGAAATTACCGACTATAATTGGAATAAATTGATCGGTACATAGAGTACTTTCCGATTCACGTATGATGCGCATGAAGCGACAGGAAATGTATAGTTCATGTCACGCATGTTATACATTTTCTGTCACTTCTTGCGCATCATGCGTGAATCGGAAAATACCCATAGATGTCAATTATTTGGATCAATAATGCATATCGAATGTAATACCCATCCAAATAATTGCCTATGTATCAATTAATTTATTGTAATTGCAATCGGTAATCTCTCGCATGACAAAAAAATTGGTACACGAAATAAAACTTATTCTATATGCAGTCTCCTGCACTACCACACTATCTAGTAATAACATTAATAACAGATTTCTAAAGTTATTTAGAGACTGAAGATGTTGAAGGTTTGTAACTAAACTTAAAATTATAATTTTATTAAAATGAATTTCACTTGGAATTAATTGAAGAATGTAGCTTTGTTAATATATTTTAACTTTACGAAGTTTGCAAAAAGTCTATACTTCTTATTATATACTTATTAATATTATTTATTATATAATAATATAATGTTTATTATTATTTATTATAACAATATAATGTTTATTCTTATTTGATGTGTATTCATTAACCATTTATTATTTATAATATTTTAACATTTAACATAATGTTTTCTTAATTATTTTTTAATTATAATAAATATTTAATTATTTTACTCTATTACATACTGTAAATAATTAGAAATAATTATATTTAAATAATTATTAATAATTATATTAAATAATTTATAAAGTATTATGTATATGTATGAAGTATTTATGTAATTTTTTAATTTTCAGGTACGGAAAATTATAAAAACAAATCGGCTGCTCTGGCGCTATTTAAAGGCTGTCGTAAGCGCTGAATTAAAATATCGGCTGCAATAGCGCTGAATTTTGATTTGTCTTGCACCTAATTATAACAATTAATTTTGTTACGTTTTATTACGTATTCAAACACTTATATTATCTTTTTATTTTACAGTTTAAAAATTATAAATAAAAGTTAATCTGCTACTTTGGCGTTATATAAAGGCTGCCATTAGTGCTTAATTAAAACATTAGCTATAGTAGAATTCTGAGTAGCCTAAGGCGCCTGCTTAGAAAAATTATTTTTGCAAGTATTATAGCCTTTATTAGTAAGTATTATCAAGATAATTGTTTGTATATATATAATGTCTCTCTCTGTGAAAACAAACAAACATATCGTTCTATTGCCTAGAAGAAATATAATTATTCGAGGCGAATGGTTAACTGACATGCATATGGAACATTTCAATAATCTTTTAAGAAACTGTTCAGATTATAAAGCTGTTGAAACGTGGCGAATACAATGTCCTGATACGATTCAGTGTGTGCCAGAAGACAAAAAACATATACAAATATTGCATAGTTCGTCAGGTTTACATGATGGACATTGGGTATGTAGTTATTATGACAGAAAGAATATATTTCTTTATGATTCATTAAATACTAAGAAATTACACAAACATCATGAAGAATTTTTGAAAAGATTATTTCCATTTAATTTTGAAAAATATTCTATCAAATTTCCAATCGTACAACATCAACCAAATGGTAACGATTGTGGTGTTTTCGCAATAGTCTTTGCAATTTCATTGTTATTTAATATTAAACCTGAGAAAGTAAAATATAATCATAGTTTAATGCGTTCGCATTTAATTAAGATTTTTGAAACTAATATTATTGAACATTTTCCTCAAGATCCACAATATGCTCTTTAAAAAGTGCTTCCATTGGCAGTAATAAGAGCAAGAGAAGTTGAAGCAATTCGTATACGTAGTATACGTGAATACGAGACAGAGCAACAGAAACTGAATCATTTGGAAGAGATTCGTAATACTTATCGATATAAGAAAGATTTAAATAATAATCAATTGCAATTATCAACAGAAAATGCTTTAAAAGAAACTAAGAAAACAAAAAATAAAATTTATAAAAAAACTGAATGTTCTTTAAATGAACTATATATTAAAGATCATACCAACTGTAAAATTAACAGTAGTAATTTGTATAATAATGAAATAAATAGCACTACAATTTGCGAACAAACTTCTAAAAATAATAATTTTAAAAGTAAATGCACTAAAAAACGTTTTTTTTTTGACGATAATGTTCAATTAAAAAATAAAAAGGAATATCAGTATAATTTAAAAAATAACAAACGAGCGCGCTATATACAAGCTTTAGATAATAATTTGATTAAACAAGATTCCTATATGCAAAAATTAGAAAATAATCGCGCTAAACGGCACAATCGATATAAAAAAAACTTAGAAAATAAACGCGCTCAAATGGGATATAAACAAAATTTAGAAAGAAACTGTGCTCAAAAGCGATACAAACAGAATCTTGAAAATGAACGCGCTCAAATGCGATATCGATATAAACAAAACTTAGAAAAAAAACGCGCACAAAAGCGTATGCGTTATTCTAAAAATCTTCAACATGAGCGAGATAGGCAAAAAAAAATAATCTTTCTCGCAAATGGCTTTATAATAAAAAATATTATCAGAAAAGTAAAAAATCTGTACTTCAACCTGCAATAAAAAATCATGATATTCGAAAAAAATTATTAAAAAATATAAAAAGTTTTGGTCTAAAAACACCATAAAACTTCGTCGTTCTTTAGAAATATTTATAAAAAATATTGCAAAAAAACTCAGTATTAAAGACAATATCGAGAAACGATTAAAAGCTGAAAAAATCGTACGTTGGTGCATGCATATTAGAAAGAATTATATTCGTAATATATATAAAATGTTAGCTTTGATTAGACAGAAAGCAGAAGTTAGTCTTAATCTTGTTGAAGAGCCTATGAATGATGATAAATTACAGGCATTATGTGGTAAATCGAGACATACAGCTTCATCGGAAAATTACTTTATAGATTCTACATATTATCATGTAACTCCACTGGAACCTTTGAATACAGAAGGAAAAGTAGTAAAATTACCATTAATAAAAACTTCATTGAAACCTTTAGTAATGAATGCAGAAGGAAAAGTAGTAAGTATATTACCGTTAGAACAAAAAATGCGAGGAAAAATATCATGGTTATGCAATATTTCATGTAAAATTGACGATCCACTTTTAATTAACCGTTATCAGAAATTTCTCGAAATCGTAAATACATGTACTTTAAAGAATGTACCAAAATTGATACAAAGTATTCATGAATGTACCATGAAAATTTCAAATAAAAAATTGGGTCATACACGTAGCTGTCATATTAATTTTACGCTTTGTAAAGGAATATTTCTTCCAGTTTTATTATTGTCGCCTCATTTTCCAACAGTAAGATATATTAAACGTTTAATTTATAAACTTATAGTTTTTTATCGAAAGATGGAAAATTTAGATAAAGCATTAATTCATGCTAATTTGAATACATTGAATAAAATTGCAGCTTCTGCACAAGAAAAAGCAGATATGTACAAACATCAACAGACAGATACAGTTCTGACTGATGATGATATTATTTCTAAATATCGTGAAGCGTTTAAAGCTTTGACTAAACATTCAGCAGATACACCACAATATGTTTGCATATCATGTGAGAGATTGTGCTATAAAAAAGATGTTTCTAAAATCAATAGTTTTCGAGCACAAATTAACACTCAAATTTGGAGAGATTTAATGGAATATGTACAAGAACGAAAAATTAATGCGCAACATATATGTACTTATTGTGTAGGCAAGTTTCGTAAAGGTGTAATGCCCGCATATTGTATCTTGAATAATCTCTTTACACATGATGTGCCTGAAGTAATATCATCTCTTAACACATTTGAAAAAATTCTTATACAGAGAGCTAAAGCATTTCAAACTGTCCTTAAAATGGGAACTGTTATGAATAAAAAGTTACCTCAAAGGCAAATGATACAAAAAGTTAAAGGTAGATCATTTCATTTACCACTTTCATTACAAGAAACATTTAACAAATTATGTGCTGAAACTGATCCAATAAACATGAGTCCTGAACTGTTTATTCTAGTTAGAAGTGTCCCAACAAAATCAAAAATTATTTGGGAAGAGATAATTAATGTTAAAAAAATATTTGACGCTTTAACATGGTAAAAAGTAATAATGCTTTATATTTCCATATTATATTGCCAAATGATCATAATAAATTGCGTTTGCCAAAGTTAAAAAATTCAGAATTCCAAGTGGAAGAGACATCAGATATTGAATCTGATTATGAATTATTGAATAATTCAGTGGAAGAACCAAAAAATGATGTAGAAGTTAGAGGGCAAACAGAAGCCAATGTTAACTCAGATTACCGATAAAGATAATTATTATGAGCAATATACTATATATCCTTTATATGAAAAGAAAGCAAATAAAACTTCAACAGCTTTATATCAAATGTTAAAAATTCAAGATTTGCCTTTGGATAATCGTGAAAAAAATTTGGATTTGATGTGTTTTCCAGATATATATCCATTTGGCATTAATGGACAACATGAAACTAGGCAAGTCAAACTTTATGATCATGAATTTATTAAATGTCGTTTGACATCCAAACATCCACAATATAGATTAAATCAACAATACTTATTTTATTTATTGAATGATGCAAACATTCGTCAGTTAAGTCGCGGAATTTATCATAAATTGAACGTAACTGATTCGCGAGTTCATTATACAGCTGCAGAATATTTAGATGCAATGTCGAAAGAATTGTTGGAATCTAATTTGAATACAATATTTTCCACACTTCGAAATACGGAGCAATATTGGCGTAAACCGAGAAGTGATTTAAATTGTATGACGCAGAATTATGGACCTGCGACATGGTTTCTGACATTAAGTCCAAATGAATGGTTATGGGAAGATTTAGGTGAATATATTCGTAATGTAAATGGATGGTTTGACACTTCATTATGTGTTAGTGCACTAGTCGCTAAAGATCCGGTATCTACATCAAGGTTTCTCGATAATAAATTTCGAGCAATACTTGATTTTATTAATTCCAAAGATTTTCCTATTGGAGAAGTAAGCCAATATTTTTGGCGACGAGAATATCAAGGTAGAGATATACAACATTTTCACTTGTTAATTTGGATAAAAAATGCACCGATTTTTGGTGAATCTACTATTAAAGAAGTCTCTACATTTATTTTACAACACATAAGCTGCAAAATGCCGAATCAAAATATTTCACCATTATTATACAAACGTGTTAATACGCATCAACGACATATACATAATACGATTATTGTCTTCGTTCTAAAAAAGTAGGACGTAAAGTTACTCGTGTGTGTCATTTTGGATTCCTCGTCCTGTTACTGAAACTTTGAATGTGAGGGATGTAGCAACTTCAATAGCAGGTAGAAAACAATTGAAACATAAAAGTAGACTTTATGATCTTCCTCGAAGGGACAATGAAGTTAATATAAATGATTATAACCCTGTTCTTCTTACTGCATGGGAAGGTAATATGGATATACAATTTATTGGTGAAAAATCATCGTTGCTTACTTGGTACGTTACTAAATATATAAATAAGGTGGGAAAAAGTGAATTGTCTGATTATATTCTTAATAGTAAAAGTAGTAAAAAGTAGTAAAAAAATAAGTCATTAGCAAGTCATCTTTGGAATATTGCTTTGCGATTTACAAATAATAGAGAATGTGGTGCTCTTGAAGCTGCTGACACATTGCTAGGTATTTCTTTATACGGAACTGATCGAAATACGACTATTAAATCGTTAGATGTTAATCAGATATGACATAGAAAATTAAAAAATCGCAAAGAAATTGAAGCTCTTGATGCTGAATCCACAGATATATTTTATCCATCTTTGATAGATAATCATTATCCACATAGACCAAGCGAATTAGAAAAAATATCTCTTTATGAATTTGCACAGTGGTATGATATTTCGAAGATGAAACCAAAAAGTAAGAATACTGAATATTATGAAATAGATGGTGATTATTATCTTAAACGGCGACAGCGTGGACATCTTATTAATCATTATAAATATAATGTTAATGCACAACCGGAAAAGTATTTCTTTTCGTTATTACTTATGTTTCGACCGTGGAGAAAATTAGAGGATCTTAGAAACGGATGCGACACTTATGCCGAATCGTTTCACAAAATAAAATTGCATCATGTTGAAGCATTACAATATCATGAAAGATTAGAAGAATTGCAAAAAGCATTTGAAACTGCAAAACAATTAGTTCAGGAATATATGGATGACGACTTACAAAAACAACAATCTCAAGATAATCCTGAAAATCCAATAGGTATACAAAATATAGAAGCTGGTGAAGCAATGCAAGATTTTAAAGATTTTGGTGATAAAGGAATTCGAGAAATTGATGTATCTGAAATGATAGCAAAATTAAATGCGGATCAAAAACGAGTATTTGATAGAGTTATCAATACTGTAGAGTCAGATGAATCAATATTACGATTATATGTTAGCGGAGAAGGTGGTATTGGAAAAAGTTTTTTAATCAAAACTATTAAATGTTGGATAAAACAAAATTTCAACAAAGATATTGCTGTAGCAGCACCTACTGGTACAGCAGCATTTAACATAGATGGTTTGACAGTTCATAGATTGCTTCAATTACCTGTTGAACATGGTCATACTCCTAAATATAAACAATTATCTGATCATGTATTAAAAATTTTACGAGCAGATCTTAAAAATGTTATTCTTTTTGTAATTGATGAAGTATCAATGATCTAATTTGATGTTAATGTATATACATTTTCGGTTGTCTGAAATATTTGACACTAGTGATTGTGATGATGGATAGTTTGGGCGAAAGCACATTCTTTTATTCGGAGATTTGCTTCAACTACCTCCTGTATGAAGATCCTATCTTTATACACTTATCAAATGAGAAAATTGCTAAATACCTTAATTCCTTAAATACTGTTAATTTATGGACTACATTATTTGACTACGATGAATTAACAATCAATATGCGCCAACAAGGAGATGACTCTTATCGTCTGTTATTGTCGAGAATTCGTATCGGCTTATTAACAAAATCTGATCATAAGATTCTTGAAAATAGAAAAATTTCTTTCAAATGTGATTCCTTTGAATCCAGATTAAATGAATTATGTAATTTTATTAATAATTTGCCATCGGACACCGTTTGTTTACTGCCTACTTGTCGTATGTGTGATGTCGTCAATGATGCAATGTTAAGCCGCATTATTTCTAAAGAAATATTATTAATTGCTGAAGATATAATTGACTGCATTCCATATGTAAAAAAAAAAAGTATTAAAAGTATTATCAAATAATGATGATGATAATTCTAGAACAGCTGGGCTTTCAAAACAAATCACAATTAAAATTGGAGCAAAAGTTATGATACGGCGTAATATTGATGCTAGTTTGGGTCTTGTAAATGGTACAATTGCTACAGTAATTTCAGTTGTACAAGATACATTTACTAATAACGTAGAAAAGATTAAACTTCTTTTACCATCAGGTTCAGAATATTTAATTGAAAAAGTAAGTGTTAAATTTGAGGTGATGGATAGAGCGTATGTTATCAGAAAACAATTTCCATTATCTTTGAGTTATGGTATTACTATTCATAAAAGCCAAGGATTAAGCTTGCCAAATGCTATTATGGACATCGGTAACTCTATATTTAATTGTGGCCAAGTTTATGTTGCATTGTCGCGAGTAACATCTTTAGATGGATTGTATTTAATTAATTATGATCCGTCATCGATAATAGCTAGCGAAAAAGCTATTATTGAATATAATAGAGTAAGACGAATACATAAATCAAAAACAAAAGAAATAATTAAATATTCAAAAGACGCCTATCACAAAGTGAAAGATATTTTATGGGCGTTACCAAAAGTAATTACTTCTATTCAAGAATCAGAAGTACAGCGAAGTACTGGTTGGATTATACATGGTTTCCAAAATATAGATAAGATTTCATGTTACGCAAATGCAGTAGTGCAATGTATATTGAACTTAAATGCTATTAGACAGCAATTGCTTTATTGTGAAAAGTCAGATGTTTTACGTATGTTAATGCATCAATATGAAAATAGAATGCATAATCTAAATACGTATGCAATACAGCAATGTTTAGGAGAATATTTTTCAAGTTCTTTAAAACGAAATGCATCAGATTTCTTTATAGCTCTTTGCGAAAAATATGATTGTATAAAATCTCTAGTAAGACATCAAATAACTTCTATAAGACGATGCAAAACTTGTGGTGATACAAAAACTATTGTTGATAATAATATTATTATTTCTATTCCTATTAATAATTTGAAAAAGAATAAGTATAATCTGAATGATTTATTAAATATTACGTTTTCACGTTGGTATCAATTGCATAACGAATCCTGTGAACATTGTACCGAAAAAAATAATATATTATTAAAAAGGAAAATAATATTAACAAAAGAGATAATTGTTATTCATTTTATATTGTTTTCATTACAGAATGATAAATTAACAGACAATTTAAATTTGTGTGCTATTCCAACGACTAAAGTATCAATAGATAAGCAATTGTATAAAGTGATGAATGCTGTATTTTATCATGGCTCAAGTATTGATGAAGGTCATTATACAAGTATGTGCAGACAAGGAACATCTAATATTTGGATTGAGGCTAATGATGCTCAAATTAAAAAGAAGCAGTGGCCTAGAGGTGCTAAAGATGTTTATTTACTTTTTTTACAGAAAATAGCTAAATAAATAATATGTAATTCGATGATGTGAAAAACAAAAATAGTTAAAAAAAAAGTTTTTTAAAAAACAAAACTTACAAAAATTCTTCAACAAGAGAATTAAAATACATTTTTTATAACATCAAAAATTTATGATTAATATTTAATCATTTATAATAATTGTATTCGGATCAATTAATAAAAAAATGTTTCATAATATATAAGCAATTTTGTGAACAATACATCATATTTTGCATTATTTATAAATTGCAAAAAATATTTATTATAGATAAATGCTAACAATTGTTTTTGCTGTTAGATGGTAAACTTAACTCAATGTATTATATTGTATATATTGTACAATACAATGTATTGTACAATATTTAACGGCAGGAATTAAGTTTACCACCTAATATTAGAAATAAAATTATATAATTTACTTCTTCTCTATTATTTATATATTTGACGAACTAAATAAATGGAACAATAATTATTCGTCAATGGATTAAAAGTACAGATTGTGTATAAAAAATGTATATTTCTAATAATTTATAACATTGATTTATAATTATCCATTATTTTTAGAATAAAAATAGAAGAA